AGGGGCACTGTGCCCCCAGGTAGTGAGGCGTGTGGATGTCTGGTAGAAAGAGGGGCACTGTGCCCCCAGGTAGTGAGGCGTGTGGATGCCTGGTAGAAAAGGGGGCACTGTGCCCCCAGGTAGTGAGGCGTGTGGATGCCTGGTAGAAAAGGGGGCACTGTGTAGTGTGGTGTGTGCATGCCTGGTAGAAAAGGGGGCACTGTGTAGTGTGGTGTGTGCATGTCTGGTAGAAAAGGGGGAACTGTGCCCCCAGGTAGTGAGGCGTGTGGATGCCTGGTAGAAAAGGGGGCACTGTGTAGTGTGGTGTGTGCATGTCTGGTAGAAAAGGGGGAACTGTGCCCCCAGGTAGTGAGGCGTGTGGATGCCTGGTAGAAAAGGGGGCACTGTGTAGTGTGCTGTGTGCATGCCTAGTAGAAAAGGGGGCACTGTGTAATGTGGTGTGTGCATGTCTGGTAGAAAAGGGGGAACTGTGCCCCCAGGTAGTGTGGTGTCTTTTAGAAAAGGGAAAGGGGGCACTGTGCCCCCAGGTAGTGTGGTGTGTGCATGTCTGGTAGAAAAGGGGGGGGGGAGACGGTGCCCCCAAGTAGTGAGGCGTGTGGATGCCTGGTAGAAAAGGGGGAACTGTGCCCCCAGGTAGTGTGGTGTGTGCATGTCTGGTAGAAAAGGGGGGGGGGACTGTGCCCCCAAGAAGTGAGGCATGTGGATGCCTTGTAGAAAAGGGGGAACTGTGCCCCCAGGTAGTGAGGCGTGTGGATGCCTGGTAGAAAGGGGGAGCTGTGCCCCCAGGTAGTGTGGCATGTGGATGTCTGGTAGAAAGGGGGGAACTGTACCCTTCCTATCTAACTGATTTTCTTTTTGTCTATTCACCCCTTCGACAACTTCGCTCCTCCGCAGACTCGCGTATTCTGTCCGTTCCCAAGACACGCACTAAATTATATGGTGAACGATCTTTCTCTTTCTGCGCCCCCAAACAATGGAATTCTTTGCCACTACACATCCGCAATATACCAACCACACAGGCCTTCAACACTGCACTCAAAACACATCTATTTAATTTATACTACCCTGACTGATTCCCCTCCTATAAACCGATAAACGAACATGGGTTTCCTTGTAAAATTTCTGGTGTGGGTGGGTGAATATACCTATGGTGTTGTTTTGCTTATATGTTGTTTATATTTCATTTATGTATTTTATTTTAATATCATGATTATGCCTCTTTGCTATATTTATGTACAGCGCGGTGAGCCCAGCCCTAGGCCGGGGTACCGCGCTATATAAGACCACTTATTATTATTATTATTATGCCTGGTAGAAAGGGGGGAACTGTGCCCCCAGGTAGTGCGGCGTGTGGATGTGTTGTTGTTAATGGGTGTCAGTCTGATCCCTACATAATAATATGTTAGTGCGTATTCTTTATGGTCTTTTATAGCCTTTCCTAAGTACTTAATTCTCATTGCTTTAATCTTAGTTTCTATGTCCTTCTAATTTAGTCGGCATACGCGTTGAGGGTTTGGTGTTCCATTTTGGAGACGTCGGTGACATCAATCAAGGTTTTACCAGCTCGGTCATCTGGGTGTCTGTCATACAAGTCTATAGGCTACATTGTCATACAAGTCTACCCATAGCCTGTCATTGTTATGCAAGTCTACTCATGCTCAATGTCTGTCATTGTCATATCAGACTACCATATTATGTCATACAAGTCTACCCATAGTCTGTCACACAAGCCCACCCGGTCTACCATACAAATCTACACATGATGTGTCATACATGTCTTTCGCTAGCCTTTCGTAGCACCCAGTTAGAATTATCCTACCCCCCCCCCCCCCACCTCCCCC